TGTACTGAATTCATTTTGTATTCAGTTTAATCACAAATTGTACTGAAATCATTTTATATTCACTTAAATCATGAATTGTACTGAACTCATTTTATATTCACTTAAATCATGAATTGTACTGAAATCATTTTATATTCACTTTAATCATGAATTGTACTGAAATCATTTTATATTCAGTTTAATCAGAAATTGTGCTGAACTCATTTTATATTCTCTTTAATCATGAATTGTACTGAATTCATTTTATATTCACTGTAATCACAAATTGTACTGAATTCATTTTATATTCTCTTTAATCATGAATTGTACTGAATTCATTTTATATTCACTGTAATCACAAATTGTACTGAAATCATTTTATATTCACTTTAATCATGAATTGTACTGAATTCATTTTATATTCAGTTTAATCAGAAATTGTGCTGAAATCATTTTATATTCACTTTAATCATGAATTGTACTGAATTGATTTTAGTCACTTTAATCTGCCGCTGAGGTGGAAGTTTAAAGTGTTTTCTAAATAAATGTTGACATTGCATGTAAAGATTGATCGTGTCGTTTGGCTCTTTTGTTTTGGACTTCATTAATTTTTTTAAATAATAATGCATTTAAAATATTGAAATATTCTTTAGTAGATAGGAAATTATTTTTTCAATATAAAAGTACAGTTTGAATCGCCTTTTTAAAATTTGATCTGGATTTTCCTCCTTGTGTAGAGGATCTAAAATTTCTGCGTCTTGAAATGATGGGATTAAATTTTGAACACGTCCTAATTTAACAGCTTCTCTCTTTGATCTTGAAACTGTTTGATCCATAATTTGTTCAGGTAAAATATTTAACGATGGAGACGATGAAGACCAGCAGGAATGTTTCTGAAACGGTTTTAAATGAGGTGCGAGCGTCCACATCACACCAAACGTTAATTTAGAGTTAATTTATTAATTTACTGTTTTAATAATTAAATACTTTAATTATCATGACTGGTGTAAACATTTCATCTTTTGTCACTAGTTTTAGTTTTTAGGTGTTAATCGTAGATGTGGTCAAAGTTGGGACAGAACTGAAGAGAACTCAAAACCAGGGTCCGGTCCGGTGTGTGGATCAGCGGGTTATAAAACACTGAATGTGAAGTCTCCTTTATTTAAAATGAAATAAAAATTATTTTTTAATATATGTAACAAAAGCTAACAAGTTAATAAATCGTTTGTTGCAACGTTTATTTGTGTTCAACCAGCAATTAGTCTGGTTCACAACCTCCTGCTGACATTTAGAGACTTTAATGTAATAAATTTAATAAATTTAGTTTGTTTTATTTTACAGATGTGCATTTGCCAAAACACGCATTTATAACGCACTTGTACAAAAAGTGTTCAGCTCACATTTAACCTGCGAAGCCGTAAAAACTAAATAAATCAAATAAAACTGCGATAAGAACGTAAAGTTTGTTTCAGCAGCTGTCCTGATCCGTCCACATGTTCAGTGTCTGGATGGAAATGTTTAAAAAAAAACAAAGTTTATATTTGTCTTTTTGTTCTTCAACAAACTTTAATGACGAGAAAAAAATATTCAGAAATTAAATAAAAAAAAAGTGAAACACGTTTTCAGTGAGATCTGTTTTAAAACATTTAAAAATTAAAAAATTGACCCACTGTTAAAAACGTCTAGCAAGAGTCTTCCCGAGTCTCCTAGAATGTTTTTCAAATAACGATGATGTCACTTCCTGTTTGTGTTTGTAGGTAAATGTGGGTAAAGGAAGTCACCCCGACATGGTGAAGGTGTTCGGTCCCGGAGTGGAGAGGAGTGGACTGAAGGCCAACGAGCCCACACACTTCACCGTGGACTGTTCAGGAGCCGGAGACGGTAACACACACACACACACACACACACACA